TGAAAACAAGCAGCGGTGGTTGCAAAAGTCACTGTCACATGATTGATTGTAACATATATTATAATTGTATTATAGTTTGTATTATCAATTGTGAAGATGTGAGTCTATCTCTTGTTTACCTTGGAGAATGTCAAGAAGATTGGTTACAATGTGCAGAATGCAGAAAATAGGCGTATTCAAGCTGCGCAGATAACAAATTTTTTAATTTGTCTTAATTAATGTTTAAATGATTGAATGAATATTTGATCATTAACAGTTATCTTTACTTACAGTGTTTGAGACTTCACGGTTATTATTTTTCTGTTTCTTTTTTCATGTTGCTTGATGTTCATTAGTGTTGATGTGTGTCAATTGACACTCTGAAATACAATTGACACCATCGTAGTGTCAATAGTAACAAGTTACGGCGGTGCCTTTAATGATGATTTTTTATAATTTGTTGTTTTTCTATCTTTATTAATTTTAATATCTATTATGTTATACTCAACCCCAAAGAAGTCTTTTCACATAAAATTTATAAGATTTCCTGTGATTTATAATAAACTAATTAGCCGCAAAAATCTTTTTTTATTATAACTGTGTCACTCTCCCCTACATCTTTATGTTGATTTGTGTACAATAGTTTTAAAGTGCACTAGTTCTAAGTGCGCTAGTTCTGCCAATGAAAAATACTATTAAATTCATATTCTCAGATACTCATAGATTCGCACAGATCAAAGTTGAAAATACTAACTCGTGACTGTTCTGGTACTGATTGTATCCGAACTCAATGCGACATCCACGTTCAGTCCGTTTCCCTGATATGCGAAATTGACACATACTATAACATAAGAAACCTGTAATAATTCAATTTTTTATTTATGTTAAATATTAAGCAGAATTTAGACTCACAATTTTTCCGCTCTTTAGTATACAGGATCATCACGCTTTGACAACAAGAACAAGAAAAAGACATGAAGCAGTTGCATGATTGTCGCGTAATCGAGATCGTTCTATAAATCAGGAATCCTCTTGATATGCTGGTATCTAATAAATGCTTTCTTATTTAGTTTTATAAATAAAAAAAATGTAATATATATAATAAAATAAATTCAAACACGCATCAAAAAATTATATAATGGATAAAAAGCTAGCACAATTTTTTTAGATAATTTTACAAATTGCTGGATAAAATCGCGTGGTCAAAATAAAATTTTTTCATCTAATATATTATGATTAAAAGTTAAAATAATTACACTAACTTGTATTAACGGAGATAATTTCGCGAAGGAGACACAACCAGATAAAGACAAGAACACCAATGCTACGCAGATCCATATTTACACATTACATTAATTATAACAAATACACGCGTAATTATATTTACTCATTAACGAGTTCCAGTGACAGCTCGTTTTACACTAAACGCTTTCTGCCTTTCACATTCCGTCCGCCGTGTATACAGGATGCTATCACAAGCTATTGTATTGTGAGTCTTTAGAAAATGTCCGGAATTTTTGTCCACCTGAATTATATAGCGTAAAATTTACCATTATATTCTTGTAGGGAGCATTTATTGTTCCTACATGTCTCTTATACGAGACATGTAAAATAATGCACACTTTTATAACAATTAAGGATATACTACGCAAATTACATCAAATTACAAATGTTACAAATGTTACACATATATTGTTTCTCCCACATTATTTGATATTTGAATAATATTTAAAATTTAAATAAAAAGAATGTATTATATTACGTAATATTTTGTAATACAACGGAAATATAACATGAATTGAAAGGATGCATTTCTTCTTTCTTATAATAAAACATCAAGCTTGCATGATTTTCTTAAGAATGTATATACAATCATTTATTAAAACAATATTAAATGAAAATGGACCGAGAAATTAACAATTCGATCAAGACAGATCTTAGACAGTGCCTGATAATATTTTTACAAAAATTTTATTAGGCACTAAGACCAGTCTTGACAAAATGGCCTTCTTCGCTTAATTGCATTTATTAAAATATAATAACAATAAATACGCATACATGGCACATAATTCATACTATCATTATCCGTTAAAAAAAATTTTTTAGTATATATCATCGTCATTGTCATCATCATCATCATCATCATCATCATCATCATCATCATCATCATCATCATCATTATCATCCTCATCATCGTCGTAGTCATTATTATTATCCACATCTTCCGGAAAAAGTTCCACTTGGCCCAAACCACCTCCGTCTTCTGGTTTTAATAGAGCTAATCCGTTTGAACCGAATCTAAGACAATCTAAACTAATCTGTGGAAATAGACGAGATTGACATAATTATATAAGTCATTTATGATCGACATATCATTTATATCACGATAAAATATGCAAATTTTTTATCTGCATTTGTTAGATCTGAAAATTTGTATATAGCATGAATAATATTCTTCAGGCAATGAACTTTCAAATCTGACCTTAAACAATGTAGTATCCTGAAACTTTCCTTCCATGTTGAGACATAGATGAATATTTCTGCCTTGAAAATATATATTATAAAATCGGACGCACGCTCTGATCGGTAGCCTTGGGACAGGAACACATATTGGTCTAGGATTTTTTCCTATAATAACAAGATAAAATAAGAAAATATAATAAATATAGACATAATGTACGTAGTGAAAATGATTTATTTTTCTTTTATATATAAATTATCTCTAAATTAATTGATTATTGGTTTATATTTATATGTATTCACTTACCAGAAACAGTTCTCGTGTAAAGAACTCTGTCGTTCATCATGATATTCGCGGTAAAGCTGAACTCGTCAGGATCATACGTGATATTCACGCAAGCTTTTTGTTTCCACGTATCGTATAGAATTCTTGAACAGCATGAACAGACACCACCGCTACACTGACAAGGTCTGTTTGTGATGACTGTGTTATTTTCCGATGCTGATGAATTTGAGACCTGCCTCAAAAGTATCTTCTCTTGCTCCAGATCTTCTCGCGATTTTGAGAGATCTTCGAGCTCACTATTAACAATTTTTTTTGTCATAAAACCTTCGTCGGCCCTTAATTCTGGCACTAAGCATGATTGCACGAGAACAATGATCAACCAATAGATGGCCTTCATCTTGCGTTCTTGATCTTATCTGGCGTTCAATGGAAACAAGAGGACATCTCCTCGAGATGTGCCTCCTTGCTAAGCGATTGGAACTCGACTGGCTGGTTAACGGACACTTATACTGACCCAGTTTTACGGTGAAATTTAGGCTTGGCTTGCTCGCCCGCATTTTGTTATTGACTATAGAATTCGAAGAAACAACAGGATTCTATAAAAATGCTGTCATCTCATATATCTTTGATCGTTAAATATGGCAGAAATAAAAATTTATGATAAAATGTAACTATTTGTTGAGAATTAAATTAATTGATATGATTCACCATTGATATTGATAATGCTAAGTTCTTGAAGATATTGTCTTAAAGCAAAGACTTATTTAACGAAGGAAAGAAATGTAATCTAATTTGTAACAGTTGATACTTACATTTAATGTTTTACAAAATAATAAGACAAATTTAAGCATAGTAAACATTGTAATATATATTTTATATATATATATATATACATTATATACATATATTATATGCCTTTACATAATACATGAATACACATATATATCACATATATTATTTCATAACGATAAATCAAATATATTAACTGTAATACATAATAAATATATTTATAACATTATAATAACGTTTTATATATATGTAATTTTGTAATTATAATATCATATCTTTAATTGACCGATATTATCTTGCTCCTCGAGAGTCATATTTGAAGTATGATTGTTTGGAAAGCCAACAGAACTTGGCTCAAAGTCCACTGGATCGTATATTTCTGGTCCGTTCACTTCTGGTTTGATCACTGTCAGTTGAGGAATATTACTGTTGTCATCGGGCTTTAGCCAAGAAATTCCATCTGCGCCAATCTTTACGCAATCGAAGTGCAAAATCAAGATTGGCCACGATATTACACGTGCCTCCAAATCAATGCACGCATGCAGATTTCTACCGGACAAGTAGATATCGAAGACACGTACGCAGAAGGATATGAAGGGTGGATAGAAAGGCACACAGAATGGTATTTGAGCTTTATCTGTGAATTAATTTATTACATTATGCAATGAATGTATACAAATTTAACGGATATAAATCTACATAATTAGTTGAAAGCTTGTTAATAATAAATTTTGCGAAAAGTTCACATTCACCAAGTCATACTCACCAGAATTAGAAACGGTATTAAGAAGTTCTTTTTCATTTACTGTAAGTTTGAGATTCATAGCAAGGTCCTTAGGATAAAAGGTAATATTAGTGCAGGCATAATGGTCGATATTAAATGTAGTTATATTGATGCCACTACAACAACTACATCTAAGATCTTCACAGCTGCAGTTTGCTCCACGGAAACCAATCCCAGAAAAAGAATCACGACCGACATATTCCAATGCGCCTTTCAATGCTAAACATGTGTTCGGATCGTAGAATATATTGAAATTGTCTGAAAAAACAATTTGTAAAAAGTATATTAAAACACATATGGAAAAAATGCATAATAAAAACTTACAATTCTTCTTTCTCTTATAAAATGATAATTTATAAAGATAATTAAAAAGAAATAAAATTTATCTAAACAATATTAAATTTTTTATTAGTTGTGCATTTTGCGTTTAATTCGTGCATTTTTAAATGTAACAATAATTATATTTACTCCTATTATAATAGGAGTAAATATAATTATCACGCTAATATCTTTGTTGTACTATAATTGTATATTTGTAGCGTATTGTAATAAAAAATAATTTTTATTTATAATTTTATGCTACAATTATAAATATAAGTGTTTTTATAGCATTTAAATAGAAATTTCATATCTTTCGTAAGTGTTTTTTTTATCAACTATTATAAAATATTAATCAAATTAAGCAAAAAATATTTATTACTTAAGCTATTTCTTACCAATATAATTGATGTAATTGCTCACAGAGGTATTCTGGACACCTAATATCAGTAAAGATACAAGCAGCCACTTAATTAACATGATGGCACAACTGCACAACCTGCACGCTTCAATGCTAATGAAAGACTGAAATTGGGCACACATTGGTCCAAGACGCAGAGACACCTATTCATTAATTATGCATCAACTTTCAATAGTAGGTAAAATAAGAATGATCAAATTGTCACACTTAAGTGATAATTCACGACGCAAAAATTTAAGAGTTTTAAATATTATTAAACCTGAGGGAACTAAACCCTCACTAACCCGAAAATTTGAAATTTTGCAAAAAGTATACATGTACTGCACGGAAATCAAATTACGTAGATGTTTTTCATTTTGACGATAAATGGTTTTATAGACGCAAATACTTCTCTAACAAAACTTGATTTTTCATATTTTTACTTATTATATGTATTTAAAATCACAAAGAATATTGAGAAAATTAACTCTTAATTTAACAATAAAGATAAAATTAATTATTAATTCTTAATTCTTATTAAATATAAATAAAAAAATTAATTATTAATTATTAATTCTTAATTTAATGCAATATTATTCAAAATGGTACATCTAACAAGCAACAATTCGAGCTCTCATTACGTAACAAAATTTAAGATTTCATTTCATATGATTTAAAAAAATATTAAAGATAAGAGTCCGTTTGTCTCCACGTGTGTTATTATCATGCTTGATTATTAAAATCTTCATGTGTTAATATACAACTCTTATCTTTAATGTTGTTATACATATTAAGTAGTGTCAAATAATTCTAACTTTCTCTGTCGCAACACGAGAGCTTAAATCCTTAAATAATTGCATGATGAAAAATATTATTATTTGTAAAAAACTACACTCAATTGTATAAACTACTAACAATTTTAGAAAAATTTTTCTGAAATATCGTGTCTCGAAAAATCTCATAAAATAATTAAAAGTATTAACATGTTTTTATAATCATTAATTATTACAATATTATCCTTCCAAAATTTTCTGACAGAATTAACTTTAATTATTTAAAAAATATATTAAATGTTTTTATACAGAATTTTAATAATTCAAATAAATTTAAATTAATATTTCATTCAGTTAATTTAAATTTAATTCTGTAATAACAAAAATTCAATAATTAAAAACTAAATTAATAATTATACATATGAAAGGTATACATAGTATATACATATATAGCGCATTATATTTATTTATTTATTACAGAGTCAATAAATAACTTAATAAATACATAAATCATAAATATTTATTTGCTCTTAATAAATAACGTTAAACTAATCGAGCAAATTATTATATTATGGCTGAGGTCACGAATAATTCGAGATATATTATATATATGTATAAGTCTTCCTTACAAATAGAAAATTCTCTGCATAATAAAATAAAATTTCTTCTAGAATTTTGTTTCCAATACATAAATATTTTCTATTTACGCAATTCTATTTGAGCCTTCTCTCAAGAAAGCTCTTCCATCTTCGCTGTAAAATCTCGTATCTCAGTCTCCATATTATTCAATAAATATAAAATTAACTACATTAAGAAATAAGATAATTGTGATAGCGAAGTGAACTGCTTATTTTCCAATTATTGTAACAATTCCAGTTATTGTAAAAATAGCAGCTGTAATTGTTAATTGAACTTTTTTTTACAATTATTGTAATTACAATTATTGTAATTTTTACAATTATTGTAATTAGAAGATAATGAAATAATTAGAATGTCGTAGAAACACGCACCCGTTTTTAGCGAAATTGCATGTCAAGAAACGTTGATTCTTCCAATCTTATCATCACTGTCACAATTATACCAAAATCTACCGAATCTTCGCTAATCCAAACAAAACATTTTGAGTTTTGTTAGATTGACGAACTCATGGCCAGATAAGAAGGACGAGCTTTCTTTAATTTCCAATTATCCTACTGACTGGAGCAACAATCTTTATACTTCAAAGCCTCATAACTTTGCTTTGACGATTTCCGCTATAATGCCTCTTCCTGGCAAGAAATCCCAATTCAAGGCCATAATCCTCATCATCATGCTCGACATTAGTTTGATTAGACTTTGTATTTTCTTTGCTCTTCTTCTTTTTACCGCCAGTATCTATAAGAGCACTCAACATGGCATCTTCCTCCTCGTCATCATCGTCATCTAAATCGACAAGATCTTCAGCCTTTTCGTCCTCGTCATCGTCGTCGTGCTCTTCATGCTTCTCATCATCTAGTTTGTCATCATTCTCTTCATCTTCGTCTTCGTCTTCATCTTCATCATCCTTGTCATCGTCATCGTCGTCTTCAAGACTATCATCCTCGTCGTCGAGGTCTTCATCATCATCATCATCATCTAAAATATCGTCATCATCATCATCATCCTCATCCTTAATAGGTTTCTTCGCTGGTTTCTCAGGATCATGGATGGCGTTTACGCTAGTCGATGTCACCGTTGGTTTCTTCTTGTCTCCAACGACTCCCTTCTTCACTTTATTGACAATCGGCACTTTATCGGGTTTCGCAATGTACACGATTTTGTTGGAGGATTCCGTGATTTGTTCATTATTCTCATTAGTGCTGTCTTCGGTATTACTCTCAGTCAATCTTGTATCTTCTTCTTCTTCTTCTTCTTCTTCTTCTTCTTCTTCTGCTTTGAATGGTTCCTGAGTGCTGTCGTGTTCCTCATAGTTAATTTCCTGCTCGTTGTTAGTGGGCAGCTCATGATCCTCCAATGATGCGGGAGTCGTTGGCCGCGGTAGAATTGGTATAGTGAATTCCAATAACGGTGCCGCGGTAGTAACTTTAGGTCTTGTTGGCACATCGTCATCGCCAGTAAAGATATCCAATAGAGCACTGAAACCTAATGGATCGTCATCGTCATCATCATCATCTGATTCTTGTGCATCAACTTCCGAGCCATCGGGAACGGAGTTCGTGATGGGTCTTTCATCATCTTCATCGTCGTCGTCATCATCCGAACCTAGTCCGAAAAAATCATCATCGTCATCTTCTTCTGAAGTAGCATCTGTCTCGACAGTTGGAAGTGGTTCAGCCGGTCGAAGCTTCAGACCG